AGCCGCGGGGGCCGCCGGCCGGCGACCGCTAGCGTTGTGCGGCGTGTGCAGCCCCGGGAGCAGGTGCAGGCCGGGGCGCTCGTCGCCCGTGTGCCTTGGGCTCTGGAACCTTCTCTGTTTTCGCTTTTCGAGTTTTTCTGGCTGTGGGCACTGAGCACGCCCCGCTAACGAAACCCGGCCGGGGCGCCCTGGCCGGTTTGGGAACCCTTGAGCGACCCGACCCGACCCGACCCGACCGAGGGAAGCCGGCAGCCTCCGGCCCGCGAGCCCACGTCGGCGCAGCAGCCAGCCCGGGGCTGCCCCAGAAAGGCTGATGGTGTCGTGTTAAGCTCCTGCACGACTGGGCAAACAGCGGGGAGCGGGACTCAGATGTCTGCGGAGGACAAAGAATGTGTTGACTTTGCCAGACTGAAGCGGCGAAGGCTTGGTTTCGCCGACCTGGGAGATGTTTCGGATTCTCTCCCACCATTCCCGGGTACAGAGTCTCAGCAGGAGAGGGGCTGGTGCGAGTGGGCTGTCAGGTAACGGGCAGTGCAGGGCTGCAGCCTGGTGGGAAATGCCTGTGCACACCGTAAGCGCCGCAGGAAAGCAACTTGGGAGATTGGTGGTGTCTTCACAGAGGAAACCAGCCAGCCTTGGCGATCGTTAATGAGACCAGAAATAGCCCCACCTGCGCCTTCTCAGCCTGTTGAGCGTTACTTCAGCAGGTCAGGGGTTTGCCGCGGGACTGTTGCCGCCCCCCAGGCCCGCTTAGGTCTGTGGGAGGACCCCGCCTCTCACACTAGATCAGGCCGCAGCAAGGCCTCCGCATGGGCTTGGATTTCGGCAGGTCCGTCCCCCTGGGCCTCTCACAGTGCCCCGTGCCAGAGCAGACTGCCACCCCGAACCATTGCCTGGTCTCTGCCCGTGGGCCGTGTGCACTGAAGCGGGTTGTACAGTGAAAGAGAAAGCTGCTTGGCGAAAGTCAAGTAGGACAAAAGCAATACTTTGAAGGAAACTGTCCTGCCCCAGCGTCACCGACCAAGAAGGCTAAGGACAGTGGCGCCTGTTGTCACAGGCTTGCTTTTGCTTATTCATAACTCATTTGTGCTGGCGCTTTGTGCGCCAAAAAATGACTTCCGCGTGGCTATTATCACTCATAGCGAAGCAAACATTGGCGTTGGGGCAGTGGGGGCAGTTGGGGTTCCCAGAATTGCCAATTCGCAGGCTGAACTGCCACAGTGCTGGTCTCTGGTCAGACGCAGCAGCCACCGCAGCCGCCTCTGGATGACGATGCGTTATGCTAATTCGACAGTTTGGGGTTTTTTGTTAATGTGCAGAATGAAAACTGACTCATGGGAGTTTCAGGAAACTGGAGTGCTCTCGGAGGTCCCTAGTCATTCTCTTGACCTGCTGGTCTATGAAAGACTTGAGTGAAATTAGGAAACAGCAAGATGCTTCCGGCAACTTTGAGTAATTATGCTGCTGTTTTACACCTGCTGGGTGAAGCTCCCAATAGTGAACTGACCATTGTAAAATTTCTTCCATGTCAGTGAACTAAATGGCAGAAAGCTTCTGAAATTTGCATTCTGCATTTTTTTTTAAGCACAAATACTTGAAATGTTCACTTTGAGATATGTGACACTCTAGGGAGGTCTGGTGTGCTGCTTGAGAAACGTGTGTGCCCTGCGGAGGCTTGTGCGTGCCCACTCAGTGCCTGGCCTCTCGCTGCAGTGTGTTCTGAACTTGACAGCAACCTGTGTGTTTCTCAGGTCTTTTCCACCGCGGCCCCGGGGCACCTCCATTATAGGACGCGGAAGGCCTGGGGGAGCGCCCCTGTGAGGCTGGCGTGACACAGATTCCGGATCTCAGTTTTTCCATGTGAGTATTTGTGGCTCCTGGCGTTGAGCAGTACCAAGCATTGCTGGAGGCCTCCACGGGAAGTTTCTCCACCCTACTTGTAGTTTGTTGGTTTCAGAGGAACAGCCAGAAACCATGAACAGCTTTAGCGATGAAGAGTTTGACTGCCATTTCCTCGATGAAGGCTTTACTGCCAAGGACATTCTGGACCAAAAAATTAATGAAGTTTCTTCTTCCGTAAGTATCAGAAGGCTGCGCCAGCAGTGCAGTGCCGGGCAGGTGCGGGCAGCTTCGGCGGGGGGTGGAGGGAGTGTCACGGGTGGGGACCTTCAGTAGACTGGGCCATCTGGCGGTGATGGTGACACTCGTGTTGGGGCCCAAGTGGAATTTACCAAGATGCTGGGAAGCACAGGAGGCGCTAACCAGCCCTTGCGGTGGCTCCTGCTGCAGGACGATAAGGATGCCTTCTACGTCGCCGACCTGGGGGATGTTCTGAAGAAGCATCTGAGGTGGTTAAAAACTCTTCCTCGGGTCACCCCCTTTTATGCCGTCAAGTGCAATGATAGCAGGACCATAGTGAAGACCCTTGCTGCCGTCGGGGCAGGATTTGACTGTGCCAGCAAGGTAAGCAAAAGCATCGGGACCCTGGATTAGGCTTTGTAACTTGGGGCTCCCAACAGGGCGGATCTAAGTTGTGTTTCTTGTGCACAGCGCCCACGCCCTTCATCCTTCACTGAGTCTATAATGTAGCCACTCATCTTTTTCAGACTGAAATACAGTTGGTGCAGAGTCTTGGGGTGCCTCCTGAGAGAATTATCTACGCAAATCCTTGTAAACAAGTGTCTCAGATAAAGTATGCAGCCAACAACGGCGTCCAGATGATGACCTTTGACAGTGAGGTCGAGCTGATGAAAGTCGCCAGGGCACATCCGAAGGCAAAGTGAGTTCCTCCATTTGAAGGCGGCCGCCCTGGGTCTGGAAGTCACTGAGCAAACGCAACTTTGTGGTTGCTAGATTTCTGTCCTTGAGTAAATCGTGTGCTGGTTAGACAAAGTAGGGAACAGCTTAAAGCCTCGTGACTGACTCTTGATAGCCTGAGGCCACAACCGCTTCGGGCTGCTTTTCCCTGAACCCTTGGCTGAGAGTGATTGTCATGACGAATGGGGTGCTCTTTCTTGTAGGTTGGTTTTGCGGATTGCCACTGATGATTCCAAAGCTATCTGTCGCCTCAGTGTAAAATTTGGTGCCACACTGAAAACCAGCAGGCTGCTTCTGGAACGGGCAAAAGAGCTAAATATTGACGTCATTGGTGTCAGGTGAGCTCTCGATGCTGGCTCGGTTCCAGACTAAGAGTAGGCTTAAAAAGGGTTCATCGATTTCTCTCCTGCTGTGAATAGTTGTTTCAGAAACAGCGTCTCCTGTGTTCTTCCCACAGCTTCCATGTGGGGAGCGGCTGCACCGATCCTGAGACCTTCGTGCAGGCCATCTCCGACGCCCGCTGTGTCTTCGACATGGGAGTGAGTATCAGAGCCCCCGGAGCCGATGGGGCGGCAGCGGGGCTGCTAACCTGGGGTGGGAGGCACCTTGTGTTACTTTTCGTAACTTACTGTGACTCTGCCTGTGTGGTTCATTTAATGTTCTTCATTCTAGGCTGAGGTTGGCTTCAACATGTGTCTTCTTGACATTGGGGGTGGCTTTCCTGGATCCGAGGATGTAAAGCTTAAATTTGAAGAGGTAATTAATAACCAAACTCTGTGTACTGTAGCTATCTTACCAAGTTCCATTTTTGAGCATTTCAAAACCAGGGACGGTATGAACACATCATGTCTTGGCGTATTTTAAATGACTCCTGTGCTATTTAAAAATGGTATTTGATACCCTCTGGTTTTTCTAAACTAGATGAGTCAGTTTTCCCAAAAGTCTTAGAAAACAGATGATCACATTGAGAAACGTTGCTGCGGAGCGGGAGAATGTGCTGACTCTAAGTACATCATTCCCCGGTGTGCTTTGCTAGAATTTATGTTTTTTTCCTTAAAAGAGCCTAAGTGTTTAGTCACAAAGTGAAGCCGCTACATGGTGCTAAAAGTTTCAGACTAGAAGCACACTCGTGTTCGCTGTGTGAGGTGGGCAGAGCTGCCTGTGTGGGTGTATGACCCTGTTGGTGTATGTTTGCTAAAAACGTTGAGGCACCATGATCGCACGTCACTGGTTTTGCTTCATAATTCTGTTCAGTAAACTTAGCCGCATTACAACAGGTGGGAAGGGTGTTTGCTGTTTGCTGGATGACAGCTCTCGGCTTCAGCTCACGTGGTGCTGGCTGCTCCCTGGGTTTTCACCAGATCATGTTCCAGACCCCTGAACTGACCCACTGCTCGTGTCTCTCCCTCCAGATAACCAGTGTCATCAACCCAGCACTGGACAAGTACTTTCCGGCGGACTCCGGCGTGCGCGTCATAGCTGAGCCAGGCAGATACTATGTTGCGTCCGCCTTCACGCTGGCTGTGAACATTATTGCCAAAAAGCTTGTGTTGAGGGAGCAGACAGGCTCTGACGGTAGGGAGGGGCTGAGCTGCTGCTGCTGCTGCAACTAAGAGTTGGCGCCAAACGTGGTAACCGGACTGATCTTTCTTTGTAGATGAAGATGAGGCGAGTGAACAGACCTTTATGTATTACGTGAACGACGGCGTCTACGGGTCGTTTAACTGCATCCTGTACGACCATGCGCACGTGAAGCCCCTCCTGCAGAAGGTAGCTCTGGGCCCGCGCTGCGCGCGTGTCCACCAGCGGGTCGGCGCAAGGCTGACGGCGAGCCTCTCTCCCTGCAGAGACCCAAGCCCGACGAGAAGCTCTACTCCTCCAGCATATGGGGCCCGACCTGTGACGGCCTCGACCGCATCGTCGAGCGCTGTGACCTGCCCGAGATGCATGTGGGGGACTGGATGCTCTTCGAAAACATGGGGGCGTACACCGTGGCTGCGGCCTCCACCTTCAACGGCTTCCAGAGGCCCACTATCTACTACGTGATGTCGGGGCCGACGTGGTGAGTGCCGGCCGCGCGCGTCGGCCTTTGAGCTTTCAGTGAGGGCTAAACGCTAGCAGCTCTACCTCGAGTCCTGCTCTCCCGTTAGGCGCCCTGGAGGGAGGGGGGGAGGGGGGGGGAGGGAGTTCCGTCCTCCATAGCCTACACCCACCTGCGTGTCTCCCGGTTCCCCTAAAGTGTGAGCACGTGGGCACAGGCGGCGCGTGTTGGTTCGTGCCCCCAGTCTTACTGGAGGCGCGTGACCAGACCCCTCGCTTGCCAAAGACGGGTCTGAGAAGTCCTTGGCAAGTGCCGGAGTCGCTCCCGACGCCAGGCCCGGACTCGGCCCGCTGAAGCCGCCCCTCCTGTCTCCCAGGCAGCTGATGCAGCAGACCCAGAGCCGCGGCCTCCCGCCGGAAGCGGAGCAGCAGGACGCGAGCGGCGCGCTGCCGGTGTCGTGCGCGCGGGAGAGCAGGATGACGCGGCACCCGGCCGCCCGCGCCTCGGCCAGCGTGAACGTGTAGATGCGCCCGTCGCTGTCACTGCCAGTTAGTCGGGGGCTCGGGGCCGCTTCACTCACGACTGCTAGTTTCGAAATGTCCTTGTAAGTAGGGTTTTGGCACAGATGCGACGAGGCGGGGTCACACTTATCTGTGTTCCTATGGAAACTCTTTGAATATTTGTTTTATATGGATTTTTATTCACTTCAAACATGCTACTAAAGAAAGCCCCTCAGCTGCTGAGCAAGCGTTTGTAGCTTGCACATTGGCAGGATGGGCCGAACGCCTAGTGTTGTGACCTGTTTTAAAAATAAAATATCTTGAAATAATTAGGCACTGGACATTCTTACAGGGGTCCATTCCAGGTGGCTCCTTGGAGCTGCAGCTAGGCTCCTCCTCCTTGGGTGTTTTCGTCTCGGGCATCTGAGTCCCGCGTTGAGTTTGCTGTGTGCGCTCACCACGAAACGCAGGCCCTGGACCCTGTGCGGGTGGGAGGCAGCTATGGACAGTGCTGCCCTGGCTGGGCGGCCTGGGGGCCCCACCTGAGAGCCCAGCGCCCTGTCACCCCTGCACGCCTGTGGCGGCGGCCTGTTTGGGCGGACGAGGCTTCTGCACCTTTTCCCCCCACGCTTGCCTTGTTCCCGCCTCCAGTGAGGGCGGCAGACTTACCTGAGATGAGGCTTTAGCCCTGCTGAGTGCCGGGAGGGAGGCACAGGGCCAGTGAAAGCCCAGAAGCCACCCCGCTCCGCCGATGCCGCAGTCCTGGGCCTGAGAGCGAGCGGGGGACTGACTGGCCGTGTTCCTGGAAAGAACCACCCTCCCTCAAGACCGAGTCCCACGTGGCCACGCGCTTGCTGTGACTTGCTGCGGCTGGCTTTTGGCTGCTCAGCTAGACTGAGACTTGGCTTGTCCTCAACTCCGGTCTCCCTGGGTCTCCCAAAAATAGGGCTGTAGTTGTCAGAACATGAATAAGGCTTCTCACGAACCACAAGGAAAATGCATTCTGCCTGAGGAGTCGTTGCAGGGACACCTGGCAGGCAGGCCGCTCGGGGCAGGTCAGCCCCACTCCACCAGCGCGTCCTCTTCTGGTTCCCCAGGGCTGGTTGGTGTCCACTGGGAACGCTGGAAAGAAAGGGTTGTCCGCGAGTACATGCAGGTGCCGGGAAGTGACGCTGGGAGGCTCCGACCCCGAAGCCTGCAGGGCTCACGAGCTCTCTCGCCGAGGCACAGTGCAGTCCGCTGGCCTCTGCCAGTGGGGCTGAACAGCCTCCGGGCATCCCACGCCACAGCCTGTTCCTGGCTCCCGAAGCTTGGTAAAGCCACTTGGGGCCTCAGAGCTCCTGGCTCAGCTAGGCCGGGCCTGGGCCGGAGGACGGGAGTGAGTGGCAGGATGGAGAGGGGAGAGCTGGACAGCTGGTGTGTGGACACCGGCCTCAGGCCCTCAAGTCCTAGCTTTGGGGTGTGTCTGGGATCCCCAACTCCTTCGATGAGTGAAGCCCGGGTGAGGTGTTCAGGCCACAAAACTAGCAAACATTTGAAGCTAAGAGACAAGGGGCACCCGGGAAAGGAGAACCTCCAGGGCGGCAGGGGGGCGCTACGCTGAGGAAGTGGCCAGAGCAGGGGTTCACGCAAACAGCCTTGGAGCTAAACTCAGGCCTGTCGAGAAGACTCACCTGCAGATGGGCACAGTGGCAGGCTCCGGGTGCTGGCGGGCGCGCGCCACAGGTGGGGAAGCCGATGGCAGGGATGTTCCTGGGCGCTTGGCACTCTCAGCCATCTGACCCGCAACGCACGGTACCGCGTGCGTACAACACGGCTGAGGGCCTGAGAATCTAGGTCTGAGGGGAGAGGCAGCCTCACGTGGACTTTCATGCGACTGCCCCTTCCCTCAGACCCTCTTCACCCTCCTTTTCCTTCGGTCCCCATAATTTGGTTCTCAGTGCTCACTAGTTTGTTTTTATTTTACTTGCAAAGTTCATCTGCTTTAGTTTCTTAATATTAAGCCATTAGATGAAACCACCCACTTCTGTCTACCGCGCCAGCAGCATCACCTCCACGGCTGCCATCTCACTGGGGACAGGCAGAGGCTCGGCCCTGTTAGGTGGGGTGGGCCGGAGGCTTCAGGAGGGCTGGGCTGAGGGGTGGGGGGTCGGGGGGGGCCCTCAGGAGGCCATTGCCCCCAGCCCTGGGGGTGGCCTGCCCCTCCAGCTTCTCACCTGCCGGAGTCTCAGCTTCATGACTTAACTATTGGGTGGCCAGAGTTAGCAAATAAAAAATAATGGAAATGGACACCTACAAATTCCAAGTTAATCAGGCAGCCCTACTGACCAGGCCTCCAAGTCCTGGGCACCAGGAACTGTGGCCACGGCTCTCGGGGCTGCATGGCCACATCGGTCACTGGGACACAGCAGAGGCCACTATATATAAAGCAGCCCCCCTGCTGGGAGATGCCCCAGGGACCAGCAGGGGGCCCCCGCGCCCCTCCTGGCTGTGGCCAGCAGGGGGCAGCAGCGCCTCGCAACTGAGGCTCCTCTGGCTTTCTCAGCTGTCGCTCAGTCTAGGACTGAGCCCCGCTGCAGTGGGACTGGGGTACCGGAGGACGAGCCAGCGCCAGCCCCTGCTGGGCCTGGGGCTCTGACTCAGGGCCTCAGCAGCCCTGTCCGCAAATGGCTCCTGAGCCCCCACAGGGGAAGCCCACGTCCCACCCTGGCCCTCTCCCCTCCGGCCTCACCCTGGCGGAGGTAACTATGAGCAGCTGGTGGGCCCCTGCAGCCTTTGCGCTTGCTGGCCCTGTCTGGGCAGAGCGGGGTTCACTCCGGCCACCTTCTAAGGGGCCCACTCCCCTGGCCGCCCTGCTGCCACCCTCTTACCTGGTCACTATCCACACCAGCACCCAACCTGGGCTGCATGGCTGACCCCGGCTCCCCGACGACGCATGGGCGGTGTGGGGAACAGAAGGGTGCCCTTACCACTCACGGGGTGGGCTTGTCCAGGGTCAGGTGACTCATCTGTGGCCACGCCGGGCTTGCGTGGCCCCTCTGCACCCAGGCCGGGCCAGGCCGCTCCAGGCTGCCGGCAGCGTGGGCCCCACTCAGCAACCGCCGTTCACTCGTCCCGAGGAAGCCTCTCAGCTGGGCAGGGGGCCACCAGAAGCGAGTACCAGCTCAACATGGGCGGTGCTGAGAGGAGGCAGGCCAGGGCCTGCTGTGTGGGTCAGTTCAAGGGGGCCGCCGTACCCCGGGTGGGAACGGGCAGGCGGGGGCCCGCCGGCTGGTGAGAGTCAGGCCCCCACCCCACCCGTCACCTGAGCTGCCACCCAGCACAGCCGCACACTGGCCTGGAAGCCGCCTACCTGCTGACGGACCAGATGTGCCCACCGTGACGGGCGTCTCTGCAGAGGACGCTGGTGTAGGGGCGCGACGCCCGCAAGACCGCAGCTTCGGGCTGGCGCCGTCCCCCGGCGGGCCACGCGCCCTCTCCTTCCTCTCCTCTCCTCCAACGCGCACAGCCCGCCTCGCCCCGCCACTTGGCTGCAAATGGGATGCACCTGGCCGGCCCCTCCTCCCTCCCCCAGCCTGAAGGGCGGGAGCCTTCAGCACACGCCTTCCGCGGCCTGGCTGGCCAGGGATCGTGGCAGGCTCCCCGGGCCTACCCAGAGGCAGAGTCCTAAAAGGCCTGTGCTGCTTAAACTGGGCTAACAGCACGCGCCCCGCCCTGTGAAGCTCCGCCCCCACCCCTGTGAAGCTCCGCCCCACCCCTGTGAAGCTCCGCCCCCTCGGCCTCCTGCAGGTGGAGACACCTGGCCACGGCACTGGCCTGGGTGTTGGCCAATGAGAGGGGAGACTAGGGAGCGTTCTGGAAAGTTCTCCTCCCTCTCAGAAGTGCAGAAGGCAGGGCTCCTCTTCCTGCCTGTGGCCTCCTGCTCCGGGCCTGCCCAGGATCGTCACAGCCACGGGGACTCCAAGGTGGCAGGACAGAGGAGGCCCGCGAGCAGGGGCAGTGGTGGGGACCTGGCCAGAATGTGGGGATCCCAGCGACGCTTGGGGACCGCCAAATCAGGCTGGGCTTGCCAGACACCAGCCCCTCGGTACAGACCTGCTGGGCTCTGAAGCTGGGACCACAGCTACGCCCGGCCACCTCCCACTGGCCAGTCTCCGGGCCCGGGGCCGGGGTAGGCAGGGAGGCCACCTGCCAGCACCGGTCCTCTTGGGTGTCCACAGACAATATGGCCTTAAGCAGAGACTGACCAGCAGGTTTACAGACACAAAGCAGGCCCCCGGGGTGCAGGAGACCCCAAATTTACTGCGAGCGTCTTGGTGGGCCCTGGACCACAGGAACCACACAAAACTCAGAGAACTCAGTTTATTTGATCATTTTAATACAAGAAATGCCAGACCAATCAACAGGGACGACAGACCTCACAGGAGCTGTGCTCACGACGCGCACGGCAGGGCCCGGGGTCGGGCACGCATGCATCCCCTTAGACACGGCAGCTGAGAGCATAAATACCACAGATAACCAGGCTCGGAGGGGTCACGGCCACGGGGGAACCACGCTTCCAGGCAGTCACGGCATTAAATACGGGCCTACACGTTACACGTCACTTCACCATACGTATAATTTATACATGAAAAGGGGGCCGCGGGTGGACGCGGCGCGGCTGCTCGAGGGCGGCGGGGCGAGGCGAGCCATGCACGGGAGGGGCCGGCCTGTCTGCACTCCCTCCGTCCCTGTCCCCACCTGTGAGTCGCCTGTGGTCACAAAATAAATGAGCGGGGGGTCCCCCACGGCTGCCCCGGGCCCCTGCGGCCGGGCGATGTCTGGAGGCCAGAACACTGGGACCCTGCGTGTAAACATCCCCGGGAGTGGCCCTGGGGGTGTCGGGGAGGGGCGGGCGCGGCGGCCCAGGGCCAGGAATGATGGAGGAGGCATCCACTTTTGCAAGCAAAGCTTAAACGGCAAGACAAGCCTGTGTTTCTCCGCGACTGTCCGGAGGCCTGAGCCCTCAGAACTGGCTGGCGCTGCTGGGGTCACACTGCAGCAGCCGGACGATGGAGGGGTCACTCTTGGCACCTTTGATGAACTCTTCCAGCGACAGTTTACCTGCAGAAGGGGGCGGAGAGGGAGCTGCCACACCCGAGGGCCCACAGCAGCTGGGGCAGGCGGCAAGGTCATGGGCACCTGGGCGGGCCCCCACCCCCGCGGGAGGGAGCTGTGCCAAGGGCTCCCCGGTCTCACTGAATCCTCACAATCACGCTGAGTTTACTGTCCTCCCTTCTCAGAGGAGTGCGCGGCCCTGGAGTGACCCCCCAGGGCAGGAGCCCGACGCCTGCGGCCTTGGTCCTGGGCCCTGGACGTGTGAAACCGGCCCGGCCTCGGCAGGCCTGTCACGAGTCCCGGCCTGCGGGCCGAAGGCGGCTCCCCCTCACACTCGCGGGCCCTCCCCCAGCCGCAGGCTGTTCCCTGCTCCTCCTGAGAGTGGGAGAACCTCACAGGGAGCCGACATGTTGGCTTGCAGCGCCAGGCCGGGCTGGGGGCTCTTCCTTAAACGCATCTGTCCAAGCACTTGAGTCTCCAAGGCGCTTCTGGTGCGAGAGCTTCTGCACAACCCCTAGCGTGCCCTTTTTAATTCATGCAGAACTGGGGTACAGGGCAGAGGTGTGAGGGTTTGAGAGGCAGAGTGGGGAGCGGAGCGGACAGATGTACTGACACACACTACTGAGGGGAGCAGCAGGGAGAGGCGAGGCCTCTGGCCTCTCCCTGGCCGGGAAGGAAGCGGCTCAGGCAGCTGCAGCCAGCTTAGCAGGGCGGCGCTTTACCCCGCTGCGCCACCAGGGGGAGCCCTCTCTATTCTTTTCCAAAAGTCCAATTTGTTGGGCGGCCGCTGTGCCCTGGGAGCCCCTGAGAAGGGCGGGTCCCCTCCTTGCTGGGGGGCAGATCTCACAGCTAATGCAGTGAAGGAAACTTGCAGAACATCCTATCACTGTGCCCCCAGCCCACTGCTGCTGGGGGGAGGGGGCGCCTGTGACCCCAGAGACCCCCACACAGCTGCCACAGGTGTCCCGGCTCTTGCATCTCAGGATACAGGGGAGCACGCTGCCCCGGGGCCCAGGATCTCACGCCCGGGCCTCGTGACCCCCACCCTCCAGGGGTGGCCTCCCCTCCCTGGCCATGAAGAGGCTGGGGCGGGGCCGGCTCCAGGGACAGAGCCCAGGCCGCGGGCCCTGAGCCTGGTTCTCCCCACACAGCAGGTCTGGGCGGGCTGGGCGCAGGGGTGGGGGATGCACCCAGCCACCTTGGCCCCACCCGCCCGCACACCAGCGACCGGCGCCTACCGTCGTTGTTGGTGTCCATCTGTCTGAAGATCTTGTCCGTTCGCTTCTCTGGAGTGGACTCGTCCTCTGGCATCTTCATCACGGAGGACACCATCTTGTAAATGGCCTGCAAAGGGGCCCAGAGACGCCTGTGCTCACAGATCTGGAACTTTCCCGAGCAGGCGGGGCCTGCCTGGGCCTGTGCCAGCCTGAGGACCCCGTCGGCTGGACTGGCCCTGCACCAGAGGGACTCGGAAGAATACCCAGACGGCAGGTCAGGTGAAGGGCGCCCCGGGGTGCTGGGAGGGCTCCACAGCTCCCTAGAAGGAGGTAACCTGTCCCCCCCCAACCCCCATAGAGCCCTTTACGCTGCACATGCATGGGCATCCCACGCCGTGACGTTACACCTCCCTAAAAACAGGAACACTCAGCCTCGGAGGCCCAGCAGGCGAACCCCATAACCACCAGGGCCAGGAGTGGCAAGTGACTGGAGCCCCTGTGGGGCTCATTCTCCCTGCGTAAAAAGCGCCCCGAGAAGGGGTGGGCCCCCCACAGGCCACCGCTGCTGGGCTGGCGGTTTGCAGCCGCGGCCCTCTGCTCAGCTCTAGCTCTGAGTCCTTCCTGCGCAGCGCAGCTCCTCTGAAGGGTTCTAGAACAAAGTCCCCCCTGCACCCCACACGAGCCAGGCAGCTGTTAGCTCTCGTGCCTGACAAGGTGCGAAACTTGTATTTTTTTTCCTTTTTCTGGAAAACAGCCCAGCCGTCTGAGTTGTGGACTGGCGGGCGGGGAAGTGGAGTCCCCTCGGAGAGGTTTCCACCTGGCCTGGACCCGTCCTAACGTCCCAGCTCGTACTCCCGCGCCGCCGGCCTGAGGGGCCTCTCAGTTATTGTAATTCTCAGCTGTTGATTGCTACAAGATCTGTAAGCTACAGATTTGGGGACCTGCAGAGGACGACCCCCGATCGTGTTGTGAAGATGAAAAGGGGAATAGAACACTGAGGCCAGGCCTGCTGGGCCACCGCAGCGGGGCCAGGGCCATCTGACCGGCCCCTGGAGACAGCCAGGGACTAAGCGAAACGGCCTCGGATGCCTCCGTGGGGCCTGCTGTGCCTCCCAGGACTGGCCTGGGCAGGGGGCAGCGACAGGACGGGCTGGGGCGCCTGTGGCCTGAGGGTTGCCCCACCAGGCGCGCCCCCGCCCCCGGGCGCACCTGCAGATCCCAAGGGGACGCCCAGCCCGCCCCGCCGCGCACCTGCACGATCTCCAGCATCTCGCTGCGGCTGATGTAGCCGTTGCCGTCCAGGTCGTACATGCTGAAGGCCCACTTGAGCTTCTGCTCCAGCTTGCCCCGCGAGGTCACGCTCAGCGCGATGATGAACTCCCGGAAGTCGATGGTGCCGTCGCCGTTGGTGTCGAAGGTGCGGAAGACGTGCTCGGCGAACTTGGACGCGTCGCCGTAGGGGAAGAAGTTGGCGTAGATCTTCTTGAACTCGTCCACGGTCAGGTGGCCGGTGGGGCAGTCCTTGAGGAAGCCCTTGTACCACTCCTGCAGCTCGTGGTCCGTGAACTCCGTGTTCTCCCGCAGGTCCTGCAGCACCTCGGGCCGCAGCTTGCTGTTCTGCTTGCCCATGGTGGCCGGCAGCCGCAGCACCTGCAAGACACAGGCCGGTGGGAGGCGGGCGCCTGGCGGCTCCCGGCCACAGCGCCCGCAGGCCGAAATATGTCCCCGCTGCCCAAGGGCCACCGCGGGGCACAGGCGTCTCGGCCTGTGCAGGGACGAAAAAGTGACAAGAAGGGGCGTTGCGAGGGGGAATCATTCGCCCCGCGGGGGGCCAGGCCGCTGGTCCAGGAAGAAGGCCCACGGGGCGGAAGGCGAAAGCCGCTGGACGGTCAAACCCTCACAGGCCTGGTTCATGCAGACTCAGGGGAGGAGTAAGGGGGATCACAGCTGGCCAGGTAGGGAGGAGGCAAGAACGAGGCCCGGGAGGGGACCTGCTCACCCCCGCCAGGCGGGGCTGTGCCGCGGGCCCAGCTGGAAGGGGTTCCTCTCGCTGCTCTCTGACCCGCCGTCACCTGCGTAACGAGCCCGGGTGCTCCAGCTGGCGTCCCCCTCGGCGCCCTCATCTTCAAGCCGCTCACCGCCAGGGTCTGGCCAGCTCTCACGGCGATCTTCATGAAGTATGGTGTAAGGCCGTGACGCCAAGTCCAGCCAGAGCCCGCACGGCCGGCCTGCGTGTGCTCACCCAGGGCCGGGGAGACAGCTCGGACGAAGGGGTTCATGTTCGCGCCCGGGCCGCGCTCCCAGAGAGGCGAGCTCGAGGGTGGCACCAGAACACCTCTGGCTTAACGACGCGGGGAGCGACCTTCCCCCAAGGGCCGGCTGGGAGACAGCGGACAGAGCAGCCCTGCGGACGGAGCCCCCCGCCTGCCTCCCGGCAGAGCGACCCCTGGCCCTGGCCGGACAACACCCAGGCTTCTGAGCCAGAGAATCTCACTTCCACCTTCGGGAAAGGTGGCGCGAAGAAGGGGGAGAGCCACCGTCCCGGGCTGGTGTCGTCTCTGCTGGGGCTCAGAGCTTCAGGCGCAAGCAGGGCTCAGACAGACAGGTAACAGCCTCCGGAGAGCGCCCAGGTGGCATTTTAGTTCACCTCACTGGAACAATGGGGCGGGAGCCCAGGCCCGCTCCCCTGCAGCCCGCTCCCCTGCAGCCCTCTCTGGCTCTGGGCTACTCCGTCATTGTTCTTAGGGCCTCAATGGTGTTTAAAATGTAAACATGCAGCTTGGAGTCCTGTGAACATATTTAACCCCAAAGTCAGTACTGCCTGCAAATTAAAGCCTCTTCGTGGCATGGCTATGGGCTGCTCGTGCGCTCCGCAGCCAGGGCGCGAATGTGCCATTAACCACAGCTCAGGGCGGCTGAGGCCAGTCCTGCTCCATCTCCGGCCCAGCGCCCCCAAGGAGGCAGCGCTCCAGAGCTCGCGGGCGGGCGGCGCACTCGGGGACACGGGAGGGAAGCCGGTGGGAGGGGCGGCCAGCAGGGGCCAAAGCGATGAGGCTGGAGGGGACGCTGCTGGGACCCCAACTCCGAGAGATCGGGCTCCTTTGGAGGCGGGAGCACCAGAGCCGCCCACAATGCTCCTCCCGACATGGGGAGAAGGGGCTGGCGGGGTCGAGAGGCAGCGGCGGCCTTGGCGTCCAGGGCCGCTGTCGCTGTCGGGGCAGAGGCTGACCTGGGCCGCCCCGCCCGCCGCCGGGCAGCTCAGGCGCAGTGCAGATGGGCGGGCACTAGAGGGCGAGCTCGGACAGGCGCCCAGGCGGACGGAGCAAGTCCTGCGTGGCGCTGGGCCCCCGACCTGGCTGGGCCACTGCCGCGGCCCCGACCTGGCTGGGCCACTGCCGCCGGCCTCGGGTCTCAAGTCTCAGCCAGGTTTGTCCGATGAGCTAACTCCCGAGCGCTGGAAGTGAGGGCGAATCTGTAGACACGCCTTACGTGTAGAAGGGACACTGGACGTGCGACTTGGAGAATTTAACATAAAGCGCCGTAACAGTTTTCTATCTGGACTGCGTGCAAAATGCCACCAGTGGAGAAACAGGGGTTAAAATGAGGTGTTGACATTCACCTCCCCTGCTGCAGAGGCTTTGGGGATGTCCCGCCACGTCTGTGTGGCTCTCGCTGTATCGCCAGTGTCTGCTCGGCCCTGCTGGGTTCTGGGACACTGTGGGTCCGGGGCCACCAGGCAGGGGCGCTTCAAGTTCACGGGCACCCAGCTTACAGTCCACTGCCCGCAGCCCAGAGAGGTGCGCTGTGTTTATTCCACTCCTCCGTGCCCTTGAGCGAGAGATAACGGTGTTGACTCTCCCGGGCGGGCGGGGCCCGTTTCTATTCTCAGCAGCTCGCACCCCTGTACTAGAGGTCAGCGGCAATGAAGACCCAGGCCGGCCCCACTAAGGGCGGGGGGCGGAAACGGGGTGCCTCTCCTCCTCCGAGGGAGACTAGCCGGGGCCCCCGAGTGCCAGCCGCCAGCGAGGTCAGAAAGCCCTGCTGCTCGGTCCCGGGTGTGCGGGGAGCTGGGCCACCGGCGCCTCCTGAGACCTGCTGCGACAGGGCTTTGCCCGCTGGCGGGGCTCCACCCGGCGACCTTGGCTGAGAAGCGACACTGCTCGTTTCTGCATCCAGCAGCTTCACATCCCCAAACTTGAAAAAGAAATGGGAGGGGCGGGGAGCCAGGCCGAGCCAGCCCGCGTCCTGCCTTAGGCCATCGTCTCCCTGACTCTCCAGGGGCTGACATGCCGGCGGGAAGCGGGAGAGAGAAAAGGGAGCTCCCGAGAGGATGTGCTTCCCCGTAGAAACTGCTCGTGCATCCGCGAGGGCCCGCGGGGCTCTCCCTGCACACTGCCCCTCTGCCGCGTCAGCCACGTGGCTCCTCACCCCAGCTACCCGGCAAACTGCTGCTCGGCCGCCAGAGCCCAGCGCGAGTCACCTCCTCGGGAAGCATTTCTCAGCCCCTGCAACCAGTTGCTCTCTCCTCTGCACACTGAAGCGTGTGAAGTCCATTTCCAGTGCACCCCGCCTTCTGTTACTGGCCGACCTGGGTCAGTCCTCACCGCGTGCCAGCGCTTGAGGAAAGAGACGCCATGCTCCTGCCCACTGGACAGCCCGGCCGCCTCAGGGCTGCTCTCTGCCTCGTCCTCAGGAGCTGCCAGGCCCACGCCTAGAGGGCCCACTCCTTGGCGTCCTGCCGGCGTCTCGCCAGCCCCGCGCCCCAGCGCTCAGGACAGCCTGCACAGTCGGGGCGCGGCCAGTGCACGGGCGATGCGGCCTGCAGATGACGGGGTGCGCTTCTTCCCGGACCCTCTCCTCTACGGCACTAGGGACACAGGAAGGAACAGCAGGGACTAGGTGGCAGAGCGCCAGGTTTGATGCTCCAAGAAGGGACATCCGGTAATTCAGACTCGGTGTTCTGGAAATTTCCATTTCCCAGCCCAGGAACAGCTGCACCAGAGTCGAGGGCCGGACATGTCAGCTTGCAGGCCCTGCTCCAACCAGTGCCCCGTCAGCCCGGCCCGGGCCTCACTCCGGCTGTGTCGCCCCGGTTCCCTGCGGCTCACGGTCTGGCCCCCCGAGAGCCCAAGTCAGTGCCCCCCGAGGCCGCTCTGAGCTGCTCCCTTGCGCAGGGAGGGCGGCTGGAGGGACAGCGGGACAGAGTGGCCGGCAGAGAACCGGAGGGCAAAGGCAGAGACAGCCCGAGAGGACAGCCTCCCACGGAAGGGAGAGTCCAGGCAGGCCGAGGCTGTCCTCAAAGGCCTCCCCGGGGGCGCAGGGGCTGAGCCTCGGCACCATGACGCTGCCCCAGCTCCTGCAGCCAAGTTCGATCCCGGCCAGGGGGGAACCCTGGGCGCAGCAGACCCCTCCTGGCTCCCGCTGCCCCTCAGCAGTGGACTTCATCGATCCGCCTCTTCTGCTCCCCACTCCGTCTCTGGGGAGTCCTCTCACCCCCTCCCCACACTTCTGGCCTGCTGTCGCCCACACCCAGCCTCCGGGGGGCCGGAGCAGGCGCCCAGCGGCTTTACTCGCCTTCCCCGCGCCTCCTTGCCCCGCTCTGAGGCAACGGGGGGCTGGCAGATCCCAACCGCCGGCTGAGGTGGGGCGAGGGGTCTCCGAATCGGTCCCTGCGTCCTCCTGGACACGTGGGACATCTCCAGGACAAGCCGCCCAGACGCCCCCAGGGCCCCACACCCCACCCTCGTGAGGCGGGGCGACCGGGAGTCCGCGAGGCGCCTGCTGCCTCAGCTGGGCTCCGTCCCCCCCCTCCCCCACGCCGGCCGGCGGGTCCCTCGAGGCTGGCGGGTCCCTCGCTCCGCTCTTCCCTGTAGGTGGTGCTGCCAGGCGCCCGCTCGGGACGACCAAAGCCCGGTCACGGGCCCAGACGCGAGGTCTGGGGGATGCTGAGGGTCGTGGAGGAGACGCCGCTGCGCGGGGCAGGCCCAGGTGTGTCCCACTCGGCGCCTGGGGCCCGGCCC